CTTCACTTTGGTGTCTCATGAACACTAGAAAAAAAAAACTTTATCTTGTCTTTTATTGAAGCTTTTTGTTCTTACCACATGCCAACATGTTTGTGTACAGTTTTTGATTTAAAATAAAGTTTCTCCTTCCAAGCTTTCAGAATAAGCCATTATCATGAATACTCGGATCATTTTGATGAAAACAGGCTGTGCTTTAAACATTTTTTTTTTTTTCTTCAAATCATTGAACAATTAATTCTGTGAAAGGTACTTTGGGGAGTTGCATTATCCTTGTGATAGGATGTTCAATAGACAGACTGAAGTAACTTTAATTGATCACTGGTCAAGCTGACTTTACTCTGCAAGATTTTATCTGCATAAATGACTGTTCTTCATTGTAATCAGATTTAGATCAAAAAGTCAATCTGGATTGACTCTGTATCATGTAACCTTCATTGAAAGGAATAATATTGGACAAAGTGAATCTAACTAGATTTCTCTAACCCTACCCATCTTGGAAAATAGAAAATGTTTTAAATTGCATTTTAAATTACTTATGAGGCTTTATGGCTTAAGATCACTCAGAAATTCTGTATATGGTACTGTTTTTAGTTTGGTGTTGCTTAAGAGTTGCAGTAAAAGTTAGTGAAACAATGGTCATCAAACCTTGTACAAATGCCCATGCAAACCTGATCATGAAAATATTTTCTCAGCTGCTTACTTGGAAATAGGAAGCCTGCATATTTAACAAAAATAAAAGCAATACTGAATACCAGTGTTACATCAGAGGAAAGTTGGCTTTATGCCAATGGATCTTGAGATTTTGGTCCATGTAAAATATTTTAATGCAAATTTAGCAATGCATCTACACACACACACAATCATTTTAGCTTGGGTAAGCAAAATTTAAATTAATCTCTTAACACTTGACCACAGCTCAAACAAGTATCCAAAAATTTTTGCTTTAATTTTTTTTTTTTTTTTTTTTTTTTTTCCCCATGTTGTTCCAAAAATCTATGTCAAATTAATGCTTTTGTAGTATATATTTTATTACAAGCTAGTACACCTTGAAAATTATGTATGTATTGATCATTGTTTCTGCATAGGATCAGTTATATTCACTGGTGAATAAAGCTAATAAAAGCTATTTTGTTTCATAACCCATGTAGTAGTTTTGATTTGTCTGCTTATATTTAATTATACAATTTTTTTTCTAGACAAAAAATACTAATGTACTATTTGCTCTTGAAAATTATAATTTTCATTGTAAGTTTTTGATTATTTATAGATTCAATTTAGAAAAATTAATTTCTTTTGACAATATGAACATGGCTTCACTTTTCTTAAATGACTAGGTGAATGATTGCATTGTATAAAATTTAGCAACCAAGAATCATTAAAAGTGGTTTAAAAAAAACAAAAATAAAACTTCACTGCTTCATACCAGATAAAAGGGGGGGGGGGCTTATCCAAGTGATGGTTAAGCATTCTATGAAACAACATTGCTCATAAAACTATAATTCTTCCCCTTGTGTGTGTGTGAGACACACATGCATAAGAATTTTACTGTTAGTGAAAAAGCTATCAGTTTACAAGAAATAGAGGTATGGGATGGCAGAGATGTAACTTGTAATGAAAAATACCAGTCGACAAATAATACTAGTGTTGGAATGTCAGTGTTGTAGATTGTGTGGGTGTGTTGCTAGCACTGTCAGGTTTTGGCAAATTAGTATCTCCATCCTCTTGTTGCTTTTGCTGCGACCAACTGTAAAAGAAGGCTGAGATAGTCTCCAACAAACACAGCTACTGTCAGTCAAAACATAACCTAATTACATCAAGCTCCTTGCACTGTTGTTTTGAATATTTTTTTCATCCTCTGATGTGCATGTTTATCACATCACCATGCTTAACCAATGGTCATATTATTTTCAAAGCTGTAATATGCTTTGAAAGATCATTTCTTGGTGTTTTGATGATATGGATACATAATATTCTTAGAACTTTGTCTACAGTAAATTGATAATGATAATTTGGTTCTGGGAACATATTGGAGGCAAATAAATATTGGGTTGTCCAGAAAGTTCATGCCAATTTTTAGTCATTCATGTTTCAACACATTAGAACACATCAAATTTATTGACGGATATGTTTATATTTCCTATTAGAGCACATTTCAAACTCTCTCTTGAGAAAGAAAGTTGTAAATTACTTAATTTGTGTCAATTTTGCATCCCTATGGAAATGGAAGATTGAGGTGCATTTTAGACACTGATATGTGTGTGCACTTTATTATTATACCATAAAGGCAAAAATGCCTTGCAAGCAATAAAAATGATATGTTGTGTACAGTGGAGGTGCTTTAGCTGACTGAACTGTATGGAAGCAATTTGCTAAGTTTAGAGTTGGTGATTGTAACCTTATTGATGAAGAATGCTCAGGCAGACCCACCTCCCCACTACAGATGACTACCAAATCAAGGTGTTGATTGAGAATAACCTGCATTATGCAATGCAGGAATTGGCAGAAAAACTAAATTTATCAAAATCCACCATCCACAAGCACTTAGTGAAGCTTGGGTATTCAAATCACTACAATGTTTGGGTACCACATGAGCTGAATGAAAAGAATCTTTTGGATCACATTTCATCTGTGATTTGCTGTATAAATGCAATGAAAATGCATCTTTTGAAACATTGTGAGAAAACTGATCATTTACAATGTTCAGTGAAAAAGATCTTCATCCAAGTTGAAGGAGAAAAGTTGTGCAGGAAAATGGTTCATATTCAGTTGAATAATTATTTAATGGCATAATTTTGTTTTGTTTTAATTTCCTTTTAAAAATCAGCATGAACTTTCCAAACAGCCCAATACAATGGAGAAACAAACCTTCTGAAGGTGACATTTTTTTTAAATCAGCATTGGCTGAGGTCTCACTCTCTTTATTCTATAAATATACTTCTTGGTTTATTACATGTTAATAGAGGCCAAAAATCTCACTTTTTGACTTTGTGCATGCTAACATAAGATACACAGATGACACAGTACTGATAGCAAACATGGAAAAGAAATTACTAAACCTCCTAAGCATAAACTACAAGACAGAATGCATGGTCATCAGTCAAAGGATGAGCCCAAAATGCAATTTACAGGTCGGGGACACTAAAATTAAGCCGATGCAGAAATTTAAATATCTGGGAAGTGTTTTGACAGGACAGTAAGTGTGATACTGATATCCAAAAATGTATTGGGATGTACGAAGACATTTCAAAAGCTAAGCAGAGTATTACAAGACAGGAGGATTTCTTTGGTAACACAGAAAAGAGTACTGAGCTGCTACATGATATCTGTCCTCCTTTACAGAAGCAAATGTTGGATGGTTTCTTCAAAGATGAAGACTCAAGGCAATGGAGTTATGGTTCTACAGAAGGATGCTAAGGATGTCATGGACCAAGCGTGTGAACAACAATTCGATTTTGGAGAGGATGCAAATAAGGAGGAAGCTTGTGCGTAATATCAGGAAGAGGCAGCTGAAATTTCTGGGGCATGTAATGAGAAGAGGGCTTGGAGAATCTGATACTCACAAGTTGAATAGAAGGAAAGAGACAAGGGAAAGCAACACATGACATACCTAGGGAGCTTAAGCAAGTGGATGACAGAACATGGCCTGGAGGAAGTAGCAAAGGAACAAAACTTTTTGAGAGCTACAATGGATAGGGAGAAGTGGAGAGCTATGATCACCGATGTCCTGAAGTGACATGGCACAAAAAAGAAAGTGTGCTGTTTTTCAAAGCACGTTTTTATTTCTATCTGGAAGTATTTCAACAAGATATAAATGTAATCTAATAAAAAATACATTGTTTTGCCTGTGCTAATATAAAAGGCAATGATTGACTTTTATAAAATTTCTAAATTGTTTTACTTTTCTCTGATAAAAACATGCACTAGTCTTGATTAGTTTTTTTTATAGTGAAATTTGGTGTTGCACCATACTTTATAAATGGCTATTACTTCAATGTAATAGCTTTGAACTCTTTCTGGTTTTGGTAATAGAATTAAAGAGCATGTTTTTTGTTCTCAATACTTGCTTAAAAATGAGTAAGAGACAATCTTGTTTGTAGGTAGAGGAAATGTTTGGTCTGGTATTAGATTATGGGTTTCCATTAGTGAATATTCAATAATTTAAAGTTTTTCTATTAGTATAAAATGAAATGTCATAATTTTTTTTCTCTCTCTCATATATATCTCTATCAAGTAATACAAATAAGTTAATATTTTTAAGTAACTTTACACAAGTACTTTACATTATTTACATTTTCAGACTGTTGTCCTCATCTTTATTGCCATATTCACAATGTTTTGGCCATTGTAAGTTCTGACCAAAACACTGTGAATATGACAAAGATGAGGACAACAGTTTGAACAATGTAAATAGTTACAATACCATGCAAATACACTCATCTCATTTGGACAAATGAAGTGAAGACTTATAAAATGGTTTCAAATTTATAAAAGGAGTTGACATGAACATTCTGGATATTTGTCTTGTTTTATTGGAACCTGAGTTAATGCACAGCTTTAACATTCCTCCAAATCCTAAAATTCATTGACATCAAATTTGATATTTTGAACAAGAAAAAAAATTCTTGTTCAGAATATCAAATTTTATAAACAATTAGTAAATACTAATAAACTTTACATACTAAAATGTTTCTATTCTTGTCATTACTTTCATTTTTGAGTTCATTCAAAGTTAGCAAACTTGCTACTTTTGAGGAGCAAAAAGCAGAAGTCATTTTTGATGAATTGAATTTGATCTTTCTGTTTCTTGTAGTTATGAGTTAATAACTTGATATTCTTTTAAATTGTTACTCTAAAGGCAAAACTTTGATCTCTTCAAGTGAATAAAAATGTATGTTTCTTTATATCCCTAGAAATGGTTTAGATTCAACATTGTTATCTTGTATGCTTATGGTAGAATGTTCAGTTTTTTATTTTTATAGACAAATTTTCTTCTCTTTCAGGTTACATGATGAAATCATAGACTTTTATACATACATGTCTCCCCGTCCAGAAGAAAAATGTATGAGAGAGGGTGTAGTGGAAAGAATACGGCGAGTTGTAAAACAATTATGGCCTGATGCACAGGTAAGCACACCAGATATGTACACTTAGAAATAAATTAAGCTTTTGTCTTTCTTTCTTTTCTTTTCTTTTTTTTTTTTTTTTTTTTTTTTTTTTTATACATAAATGCTTTGAAATTCATTTTCTCAGCTAAATTTGTAATCTTTATTGTTTGGAAGCAGCTGCTGGTATTCATTTATAAAGTCAGTTGAATAAGATTTATAAAGGTTTGTCAAAACATAGAAGTGGTAATAAAATTAAACTGACACTTTGCATGTGCTGGCAAAATGATCTACTCTCTTCCATAAGAATAAAATGAGAATTGCTCAGACTTCAGTATAAAAATATAAGGGATATTTTTATAATGATGTCTGAGCAGTTTTCATTTTTTCATCTGAATTTTTGGAATAAGGATTTATTAACTACTCTCAGACTGTTGCTCTGATCTATTGCACTTCACCCATTGTACCACCCAGTCTTTATCAGGTGCTTATCGATCTGGGTAACCTTCAACCATCATGGAATTTTAAACTGAAACCTCTAATCCATCTATAGAGATAGATTGTTTTCATTCTGTAGTCCATGTCTTTAGATATCTTGTTCTGGTATGGTTCAGTACTGGTTTAAGTCTATACTGAACTTAGGGATTGAACTTACAATTACTGTCACCAAATTCACAAACCAATACTTTAATCCACCTGGCTATTGTCTGCATCGAGACCTAGAACCTATCTAGTCTACCTTCTGCTGAAAAATTCTGTCAATGTCAAAATATAAACTTCCTAGTCATTTTTCTCATTGTTTTACTTATTAGTCAATTCTTATTCTGTATGTGATGGTAGATTTTGCACTCATTTATCAGAACATGAACAGATTGGTTTTTTTTTGGTTTTTTTAATTTGATTGATTCAGACCTCTATTTTCATTGTACTAATGTAACATAGATAAAAAAAAAAGTTTGTCCATATTACAAATGATGTAATAATCATTTTGACTTCAGTAATTCCAGGTAGCTTTACAAGTAATAAATTTGGATTAGCTTCCAACCTGTTCTAAAATTCTTATTCTCCTTTCTCTCACTTATCACCTCATTATTTTTATTTTATTCATTTTTTTTTTTTTTTTTCATAGGTTTTTTTTTTTTTTTTTTGTAGGTTTCTCAGTTCAAATCAGATTAATTATACTTTAAATCAGCTAATATTCCTTAAATAAAGTTTCAGAAAAGTATATTTTATTTTTGGAAGATTTTTTTAATAAAGAAAAATTCATTGTAATGACAGATGGCTAGAAAAGGGGGCACTAATCAGCTATTTTTACCCCCCAAAAATGAATTGACTCCAGCCAATAGACGTTCTGTTTGAAATACTCTACAGAGTATTTTGCTTATTGGAAATAGTAAATTTAATCCTTTAACTTTCAATTAAAGTTAAAATGAAAGCTTTGAGAATTTTCATTTATGAAAATTCATTTAAACCTTAGATATACCAAATTATTGGCGGTACTTAATTTAATATCTTTGTCATTTCCTTATTTGTTGACAAATGTAATTTTGTAAACAATATATTTAAAAAAAGGTTTTGAAAGTGTTGATGTTTGATTTGTGGAAAAAAATGTTTAGCTGTTGCTGTTATATTGCAGTAACAAATTCACACACAGAAATTGAATCATTTAAAATATAAATAGTAACCTTGTTTTTTGTTTGTTTTAATTGGTATCTTGAACTCTTGATTTCCCCAAATGCCATTTCAGGACATAACCAATCATTACTCTCCACAGATACTTTTATTTTCTATTAATTGCCAAGACTTGGAACCCTTTGATTAAAACAATTGAGCCTGAAAAATACTGTACCTATCAACTTTTAATAAAGATAGTAAATTTGTATTGCATGTATTTTCTTTCTCAAATTTCCTTTGCTATAAAACAATATTGAATTTTACAAGTAAATTAAAATTGATATTCTCAAAAAAAAATAAACTATCTTCAACATGCTAATGCATTTTAAATTTGTAATATTAACCCATTTTACCAAATTTTCTCAATGTTACTCCTAAAAAGAGAATTTATAATTTTAATCTCTTGTTATTAGCATTGCTGATTGAAAATAGAAAGCTTCCTTTCTCAGCAAAATTAGTTTATTAAAAGGACACTTGAGAATATCAGTTTTGCATTTATATTTTAATCTAAACATTTTTAACTGACAAAATGAAAAAAAATATTATGGTTCACTTATAGATTAATCTTACTCAGCACTAAAATGAAAAGGTTAATTTTTTTTTTTTTCCACTTTTTGAAGAAAGAAAAAAAAACATTTCTCAGTTTGGTTTTGTGGTAGAGCAAACTCCTGGAAACTGATCTTGTGTTGATACAGACTGTTGCCTTGAATTTGTTCAAGCCATTTTTGTTTGATCATAAATTCACTTAATGTCATAAAACCCTGTAAAATGTAACTGGTAACAATGTCCAACAACCAGACGTGATTAACAAACATTTTGTCATTTGTCCTATGTCTGCTAGAAGTTTGTTCATATTATTGCAATGGATAAATTAAGATCATTCCCAAATGACTATTCCTAACCCAAACTTTGTCCCATTTAAGTCATTTGAATATACTGACTTAAAATTGTCAGTCCTCGATATATTACTTGCTGATTGTGTTCCCAAGTTCAACTGGATGGTAATACAAACGACTGATGGTTGAAAGATCCAAGAGGTTAACCTTTAATAATTGATCTATTTGTAAAATATACCAAGTTGACTTGTCATTATCAGCCACGTAAAATTCTTGTATGGAATATGTAATGGGTTAGTAAAAAATGACCCTTTTAAGCTTACAGGCACTTCATGAAAGTTGAAAACTGTAACATTTCTCCTCTAATGGTCAGTAATCATTTTTTACTTGTCAAATTAGGTTGTTTTTTTTTTCCTCTGGATTTGCTATTTGTGAAATTGTTCCTTTAGATAATAAGGAAATGTGGAATTGTTAGTATTTTTATTTAAATACCTTGTAACTCATGTTCTGATGAATGTGATAGTTTAATTCAGAGTAAACGCTCCATTTTTATTGAACGGAAGAATCAGATGGTTTAATTGGAAATTGATTTAAAAGATTATAATAAAGATAGTTATTTCCAAAGAAGTGTGATACCTAAGGTTTAAAATTAAGTTTTACAAATGAAAAATCTTTATTGAAACTTTTATTTTAGTTTTAATTTCAAGTTAATAAACTTAATATTTCCAATAAGCAAAAACGTTAGTTGATTTAGCGTTTACTACACCAAATTCCTTGTAGAATTGTTTCCCCTGCCACTGAATTCTTTTTGATGCCACAAAAAACAGAAGCCCTACTGTTTTTAAAATTATAAACTTCTTTGTATTGTATGTATAGATTTCACTTTTTGTGTACTGATAAAAGAATGGATGAGAAATTGTTTTGCATGCATGTTTTGACATTAAAAACAAAAAAATTGAAGCACAAAATTTACTTGGTTACTTGGCTTTCATGAAATAAATAACATAATCCTGAATTGTTTTATTAAAAAAACAAAAAAAATACCCAGCAGGTTCACAAGACTTTAATCTTTGCTACTTGTAAGATTGGCTTCTGTTAACTGACATGGGAGCTGGTCACTGTTACACTATCTTACTAACTATGAAATGATTGTTGGGACAAAATTGGCACTGATGTAGTAACTATTTTAAGTTTTCCATGGGCAAGAGTAACAAAGGTATTCCAGAAATCTGTAAACTCTGGACAGACCTCAGTGGCATATGAAAACTGAGTACTTATGATACAGAAATGAGACTGCCACCAACCAAAAATGACAGCCCAATGAGAGAAATATTAAATAAAATCACGTCTCTATTCAACACTGGAGTTTTCTCTTTTATGAAAATGTTACCATTATTGACACTATGGTATCAGTTACTGCACCTCAACAGGTTCAGTGAATATCATCTTTTGACCATGGAAGTTTGGTGCCCTGTCAGAGAATGTCTTTTTTTTTTCTTTTTTTTTTTCTTCTTCCCCTCCTTTCCCTCAACTCTTTTAGGTCAGACTTTCAAATTCATGTGTAGAAGAGATTACATTGAGGTAATGTGTAAATAGGTTTTGATTGTGCTGTAAAAAAAAAAATTCATCAGTAAAATAGATTCCATCTTGACAAGTGTGATGTACACAGATCTTGTTGCAGACCCCTTGCACCCTTGTTCCTGGAGATGACAGTTTATTCCAGCAACATTATGCAACTCTCCATAATATACTTAATGTGAGACATGAAACTTGCTTCATGGAATAATTGGCCTTCTTCCAGTTACTCCATTGGCCTCTGCACTTGCCAGATTTAACCCCCATTGTGCCTGTATAGAACATACTGTAAAGCTAACCAAATTCACTGCAGCAACACCCAACAAACTGGTATGGATTTATGGAATGTGTTTAGATATACCCATACAATAATTCCAGTCACATAGCTGTTGTTATTCATGCAAAGGGAAAAACTATGTTATTAGGTAGTTGTTTCAATGAAGAAAAAAATTCTTTTGCTTTTCAGTTTACATATGTATATATGTATAAATCATGACCTTGTGTTCTGAACTTATTTGATAATGTGTTTTTATTACTTCAACTAGCTTATTGTAGTGGATACCTCAAAAATGGGGTGCCCATTTCAAATATTGGAGTATCCACTATAATAATGAATGAAGTAATAAAAATGTCAGATTAAAAATATTCATTAATTCGTTAGCAATTGATCACATGTGCAATCAAAGTCAAGCCAAGCTGTTGAATACATTACACACACACACACACACAATTTTGATTAAATTAGTTTTAGACTGAAAATGTGAACAAAAATGCATCACTTATTAGGCTTGTAAAATCTTGATAGAAATTTACTCACTCACTATCAGTGATGAGAATTGGTGTTTTGTAACGGATCAATTTTGGTAACTAGGCCATTGTACCCTTTGAAAGGAAGTGTTACAATCATTGAGCACCTGTTAGTTTTATACTTTTAATATTGACTTTTCCTCTCTCCAATCATCAGTTTTACTATATAATTGTTAATTTGTGTGATCAAGTATATTGTGCAGACAATTGGACAGCTGCTTAAATCAATTGTAGCCTCATATTCCACAACATCTTGTCAATTGTGTGCACACCTTTCAAAGCAGGTAGGAGAAAAATATTGTTAATAGAAACTTTCATTGATTTACAAAAATTAGTATCACATTTCTCTATATGTGGCAGTGTGGTAGAAAATCTTTCACCTGACAAATGATTCAAAGTTCAGCTGTTATGACTGTTAATATTGTTGTATATTAACATCTGAATTGTTTTGTCATATAACTCTAGTTTTCTAATTTCTCTTACACACATTACAGAAAAAACACTTGTGTGTCTAAAGAATATGGCACCTATAAAGATGTAATTTAAGTTTGATTGTTTTAGGGAATGAAAAATATTTTGGAGAATACTGTTTTGCTGCATGTATTGACAGTACTTTGTCTTTTTCTCTTCCTTTATTTTGGTTTAAGTTTTTATATATATATATATATATATATATATATATATATATATATATATATAATGTGCATCGTCCAACTGTAATTGAATCTGTCTCCTATACAGAACTGTCATTATGCTTGACATGCTATGACCATTCAGCTACAGAGAATTTTTGATTTAGCAAAGCTTGAATTACTGCTTTTAAGCACTTTTTGTCAGACTTAATGATGGTTCCATATAGGTTCAATTCCTTTTGGAGGAAACATTTTCTATGAAATTTCTCAAACATTCAAGCCAGTAAATGTAATTAATACTGTTTAATTTAAAAAAAAAAAAAAACACAGCATTTACTCAAATAAGTGTATGTATATGTGTGTGTGTGTGTGTATATATATATATATATTTTATATATAAAAACTTTAAAAATTAGATCAGTTGATTTTTGCTACCTTAGTTTCAACCTTACAGTGTCCTCAGGTGATTTTTATCAATTGACTCCCAAATTGTCAAAAAAAAAAAATGAATGCTATATTTTTAAATATAAACAAACTTGGTGTGATAGGGAGATGGAGAATTTAAAGAGAAGTGGGGGGGAGCAAGGGTATTATAAATGTATCAATGGGGTGTTAATTCAAATGTACATACTTTTTTAACCAGCTTCATATAAGCTTAAGAGGAATTTTTTCTATAAATACAGCTCATGGCTTCAGATCTCTGGTTCAAAAGTTAACCAACATAGTTATCCTGTTAACTAAAATGTAACTGGAACATTTTCAAATAAGTCTTTTTATTTTCAGGTTGAAATCTTTGGTAGTTTCCGCACTGGTTTGTATCTACCAACCAGGTAAGTCAAACATAAGATTTTTAACACCTGATTTTAATTTTGTATGTATTAATTGAAAACTGGATATTAGTATTTTAGATATTAACATGTTGTGTGCGTGAGAGAGGGGTGGAGATGGTTTGATCAAAAACTCTCAGGACTGGTGTGTAAAAACAATACAACACGCATCAATTCTGCATTTAATCACCTTTGAAGTAGTCCTCTTTTGAAGCCACACACATTATCCCGTGTGATTTCCATTTATGGAAGCATTCCTGGAACTCCTTTTTTGGGTGGGGATAGTGAACAGCTGCCTTGTTGCATTCTTGGATTTTCTCAACATAATTTTTTTTTTGTTGTTGTTCCTTTCAAGTGGAACTTGATTTTTAGAAAACTGAAACGGAGATCTTGGGAATATGGTGGCTATCGGACCTGGGGAATATGTGATTGGTCAAAAACTATGCACAAGCTGCATTGAATGGACAGGTATATTGTCCTGGTGTAGTTGCCACTCACTGGATACATGCAATTCTAGTTCTTTTTTGATTAACAGCATCCCACAAATGCTACAAAATGGCATATGGTAGTACTCCTTGTTTACTAAGTGTAGCACACTCATGTTGAATGTAGTTGAAGAAAAGTCTTCACATTTGTGCTTTCTATCTTGGAGTGGTTGGGATTTTCCACTGCGAAGACTGAGCCATATACCAACAATTCATCACCTGTTATGACTTTTTAAAGTTTTCATCTTCCTCAACACAGGGAAATTCAGTTTTCAGCTAACTGAAAGCAGTTTTGGCAGACATGTCTCCTACCTAAATCTTCTGTGAGAATGGACCGAACTGAACCATAACTAAACCTTCAAAAACTCATGCACTGTGATTGAATGGTCTTTCTCAACAATTGCACATACATCTGTGATGTTTTCATCAGTTCTGGTGGTTGCGGAACTCCCAGAACATGCATCACTGTCAATATTTTGTCAGCTATCTTGGAAATATTTGGTGCATTTGTACACTCTTCTCCATACTGCAACTTAGTGTAGGTCTTTCTACCAGTATCACTAAGCTTAAATGGTTAAAATATTTTCCAGCTTATATTATATACATATCCCAAATATCATAAACTAACAATATTTGTACTTTGCTCAATTTCATAATGTTAAGTGTGAATAGGGTAGGTATGGTAGTATTTTGCATTTGACAAAAGATAATAAAACTAGTTACTATATTTAAATTCTACTTTTGATAGTCATTGTATTCATAAAAATGGATTATTTTATAATGGGAGGTATGCATATTGAAACTCTTGACAAACTTGGTGTTTATTTTTGTATTACATTTATTGGTTTAGAGTGGATTAATTCAAGATGTTCCATAGGGAAAAAGACATCTTCTGATGTTCAAACTGAAAGTGGGCTCCATTCTTAAATTTTAGACTCTCTCTCTTTTTTTTTTTTTTTTTTTTTCTTAGCTATATTATCTCCTTTGTACTGGCAATGCAAGGTGTCTCTCTCTAAGAAAATGACTGATTGGAGATGATTATAAAATTGGGAGGTGAAAAGATCTATGAAAAAGCAGAGTACAGTAATAACTGGAAAAATATAGACTTGCATGTTAAGTCTTAATAAGGACTTAACAAAATACCAATTTCTTATATGCCATCATTTTTGGCATTTATTAATTTTGTATAGAATTAAAACTCCAAGCTAACCTTGTCTTTCAGAATTCAAAGAAAACTTTAAAAGGGAAATCTGGTATATTATTTTTACAAAATTCACTTGGAGAAGTTGAACTCTTTGGAACAGTAATCTGATCCAATCTAGTTTTGTGTATGAATTGTTTTAAATAACTGATTTCACTTGAAATCAAAGCTGTTAAGATCAAAATTTGTTTGCAAAACATTACAGTGTTGTGATTGTAGCTTTTGATATTGCTTGTAGTTATGACAGTTAATACCATCTCTTGAGTCATGCTTATTTTTTATGTAGCTGTCAAAACATATGTTAATTTAATAATTTGGGAATGCAGATGCTTTCTTAGGCAATGCTAAACCTCCATTCCTTCAAGCAGACAATGAAAATCTTTGATATCAATAACATTTTCTTATGTTAATGAGTTGCAGGAATTTAATAGACAGTTGCATATCCAATGTCACATTTGTCATAAATATTGGCAGTGAGTTTGTTACATCTGTTCTAAAGAACAAGGCCAAATTATTAAATTGATCTTTTTAATTTATTTCTCTAAATGATAGTGTGTTTTTTTTTTTTTTTTTTTTTTTTTTTAGTATTTTCATCGTAAATCTACATCTGGGTACATAACAAAATTTTACTTGCAGATGAAGAGAAAGCTAACTGTGCTATAAAAATGGATAATAGCTTAGTTTTGACTCATGGGGGTTTAAAAAAACTTGGGATAATCTCACAAATTCGACTCCAAAGATTATTGGCATTTCTGCAAGAGAATACTAAACAGCAAACCCACTATAACTCCTTTATTCAACCAATTTGAGGTCCTGACTTCCTCAGCTGATAAGGCTGAGTGCTTTGCTCGTAAATTCTCATCTGGTGTACCCACACCCAATCCCCCCACCCCCCTTAAATTGAGGCTCTGTTGAGCGAATTGCACATAAGCCCATCGCTGGCATTGGGCATCTCTAAATTAGACTCAAAAAAGCTAGTGATGTGGACGGTATACCAGCCATTGTCTTGAAGAAATGTGCTCCTATCCTCTCCAAGCTATACAATTACTGCCTCAATTACTCCTGCTTTCCATCCTGTTGGAAGTTTTCATGTTGTACCTCTCTTTAAGAACTCTGATAACCCTTCTGACCCATCTAACTACCGCCCTATCAGTCTCCTACCACTCTTTGGCAAAGTCTTTGAAGCTTTAACCAACGTTGAAGTGGTTAAGCACCTTATATCCCATGATCTGCACTCTGACAAGCAATATAGTTTCTGCTTTGCCCGATCTACAGCTGATGTATTCACAGCCATAACTGAATTTGTTTACCAAGCACTTCACAATAACAGAAGCTCATGCCATGGCTCTAGATATCTTTAAAGCGTTTGATAGTTTGACATGCTGGCCTCCTTCACAATCTTCAGGGATACAGTATTTCAGGACAATTATTTGATTTAATACAATCATTCCTGTCAAACCGTGTAATGGTCATCCTTAACGGATTCTCTTCCAGTTACTTTCTCATGAACACAGGTGTTCCCCAAGGCTCTACCCTGGATCCTACACTGTTCCTTATCTTCATTAATGATCTTCCTCATGTCATCAGTTCCCAAGTAGGCATCTATGCAGACAACACCACTATTTACTCCTGCCTAAATAGCAAATCTGGTATCACTGGCAAAACTAACCTGGCTGTTGGTCTCGAAAAGGACCTCCAACTGGTTGCAGGAAATGTCTGGTTAACTTTAATGCCTCAAAAACAAAACTGTTCTTTATTACCCACCACAGAGAACCTCCCCTGCCTCCCTTTAGGATGTCTGATGCTCAACTCCACGAAAGCACCTCTTTGCGACTGCTTGGTTTTACACTGTCCGCTGACCTGAGATGGAACAATTACATAGCATCAATAGTTTCATCTACCACAAGTAAAGTTGGTTCTCTGTCATGTTAGAAAGTTTTTCTCTTAGTCCATCCTTCAAATCTATAAATCAACCATTCGCCCTTGCATGGAATATTGCTGTCATATATGGTCTGGAGCCCCGCTATTAGACTTCGGGTCCTCTACAAAATCCAGAGACTGCTATGCAATGTGGTTGGCCCTGATCTGGTATCTCATTTACAGTTTCTCTCTCACAGACATGTCGTTGCCTCCCTCTGTCTTTTGTACAAATACTTTCACAGTAACTGCTCTGACAAGCTATTTTTGCTGGTTCCCAAACTGCATGAATTTAAACATACAACTAGGTCGACATCTTGGTCCCACCCTTTCACTGTTGAAACTGTTAAATGTAGCCATCTCTTCTACTCCAATAGCTTCATGTCTTGTACTTCCCATCTGTGGAACTCCCTTCCTCTTACTTTCTTCCCTGATAGCTATAATCTCCAACTATTCAAATGCAATGTCATCTCCAGATACCTTGATCTATTCCCCATCCTTCTCTTCATCCTTTCCTCTTTCACACCTCTTTACTCTTGCTCCCACTCTCGGTCTTGCTTGGGGTGAAAAGCTTTAAAAAAAAATAATTTTATTTAACTCAAAAATCTGTAACAAAAAAAAATCCCTTCCCACAATTCATCAGATGGCCCAAGTGTTTCTTCATTTACAATTAATGAAATAATAAAAATTTTTTGCATACAATTCCAATAAGTGGAATCTACATGAATTGAGCAAATTTTCAGTGTAGCCAGTCATTTATCTATTCTCTCAACCATACACACCAGCATTATATTGTTATCACTGAAAACCCACTTTCTCACACAACTTTTTTTTTTTTTCTTATGGGTTTCAATTACAAGGATTCTAGATTGATTGTTCTTCCAATTACAGTGATATAGACCTGGTTGTGTTGGGAACTTGGGATCCTCCCCCGCTATGGAAGTTGAAAGATGCTCTTGTGGAGAATAATATTGCCAAGGAGGAGTATATCAAAGTTCTGGACAAAGCATCCGTAAGTACAATTTTTAAAACTTTGTGTTCTAAACTATATACTATTTACATTCATTTTGAAACCTATTTGAAATTGCTGCTTTAAAAATTTCAGAAATCTTATTATAAAACACAGACTGTGTGTGTGTGTGTGTGTGTGTCTCTGTACATTTATATATGGGATCATATTTCCTACATTTTTCAACCAATTTCAACAAAACTTCACAGGACTACGTAAAATTACACAGCGGTGATTCTGACAGTGCCAAAAATTGGAAAAACACAACTGTTTTTGCATGAAATCAATTTGAAAGCACGGTTAGGGGTATTGAACCTGGTCGGAAGTTACTGCCGGCTACTCAAACGTATGAATGTCATTAACTTCTGGTGACTCAGCGTATTTTTTTTTTTTTTTTTTTTTTTTTTTTTTCAGAGAACAATACACAAAAAGTAAACAAATGAAACCTAAACATACACACACAGGTCCTCCTAACTAAAAATAATAACCAGAAACTACTTTAAATACACATGGTGTCCAAATGAAACCCATGTGTACAGTCAAAATGCGGAAGTTAATTTTTAGTCATCAACCAAAAAATATTCCCAACCATCTACAATGCTAACAGCAGCTGACATAAACACACCCGATTTCTTCCACCAAGCAATTTGTCTCCGGGATAGAGCGACGTGCCTCCCCTTCTCACCTTCACCTGGCCGACCCTCGTAAATAAATATACAGAGGAAGAGACAATAACATGAAAGAATGCCTGGAAGAAAAAATTTAAATTAAGTACAAAAATACAAGCCAGTTATTGAACCAGAATTTATACTTAAATGTCATCATAAAAATAAGTTTATATAGTCTTAAAAATAGACATTTATTTTGCATCAAACACTGAAAAATATATATTAGGTTTGTAACTATGTAAGTTTATATATATGTATGTATATATGTATATCTGTCTGTTACTTTTATTACTATTATTATTACTTTAAATATATATATATATTTTTTTTATTACTATTAAATGATGATGTTTAAATGAATAACAACATAGATTGCATTTCTGTGATTTTTATTACTGGTTCAGTTAAAGTTTTATCCATAAAATTTTCCCCTACCTTCCCTTACTGCAATATTCTCAAAAAAAATCTAAAGTAGGATCTGTAATGTAATCGGTACTGAATTAGCTTCTTGACTTCAGCCGCTTTCTCACAGGCGTGATGTGGCTTCCCTCTATCTTTTCTACAAATATTTTCACGGCTACTGCACTGATGAGCATTTTTTCCATGGTGCCTTGACTACATGAATTTAAGTGTACTACTAGATTGGCATCTAGGTCCCAACTTTTTACTGTTGAAATAGTTAAATGTAACTGACCTTCTAACAGTTTCTTTCCTCGCACTTCTCCATATTGGAACTCCATTCCTCTCACTTGCTTCCCTGATAACTACAATCATCAGAAACCTAAATGCAACATCAGTCACCATGTTTTGTTGCGTTGATACCTGTTCTTTTTCCTTTCTTCAATCCCCCTACACCCACTTTTTCTCTCATTTTCCTCTCCATAACCCCCTGTGTGATAATGACACTTCCGACTTGCTTGGGGTGAAATGCTTAAATAAAAAAAAAACCCAAAACATTGAATATAAAATAATTAGGGTACTGACAAAAGCATCTAATAAAATAATTAGGGTACTGAAAATAGCATCTACCACAATCAAAGGTAAAGCTCTCCCTACCAACAGCTAAAATAAAAAGTGCTCAATACAAAATATATAATATATATATATATATATATATATATATATATATATATATATATATATATAAATAAAAGGAGGATGTGTGTGTGTGTCTGTAACGAATGCACGGCCGCAATTTTCAATGGATTTGCACCAAAATTTACATGCACATGCTCCAAGTTAGCGAGAAGGCCAAGACTGATTTTGCATTTCCCAACTCCCATCGATAGTGGAAATAATCGATTTTTTTTCATGCTTCTACGACAGTTTTCTACTGGCCAGAGTGAGAGCCTATAGCTGGCTGCCACAAATAGGCAGGAAAATTCTATTGGCCAGCATGAGAGCCAACAGCTGACTGACATGAATGTTAACTAGCATGCAAAAAAAATCAATAGCTGCATTCGTCACAAGTGGGGAAAAATTTAAATCTGCATGGCACTTTACTCCAATTGGTTCATTCGCTTGCTTAAACTCAACGTTGATTCTGATTCCGCAGAACTGGATTGGGTGTGAAAAAGTATTTGTTATTAACATTCTTTTTTCATTCGGTTCTTCCAGTTACGAGTCCTTTTTTTTTTTTTTTTAAAGCTGATCGTTTTGTGTTCATTTTGTTTAGTTCTTTTTTTGTAACAGATTTAATGTTTAGTATAGAGCTTAGAAAAAATTTGCGTGAGCTAGGCAAGAAGTAAGGCATGTAGCAACATCAGCACGGCAAAGGGCACTCCTTTAAAGGCAAGGAAGGCCAAAAGTATTTTAAGTCAAGTGATAGTGATTACTGTACGAGTCATACGATTTTTGAATCAAGCACGGGCAATGCCGGGCCATGCTGCTAGTAGTTGATATATGCAAAGCAGGAAATATAAAACTATTCCTAAACTTGACTTTCTCTCACAATAAAAAAAATGAATATACTATACAGTTTTTAATTTTTATTTTATGTATCTTGTTTTGTATCTGTAGTCATTGACGTTCAAACTTCTAAAAGTATTGGGACTACTGATCAAAAATTAAAATTAATCTTTAAAAGTAGAAGATACAAGAAAAGTAAATGGCTTTTTTCTCTTCTATTACATGTTAACATCTCTTAAGATGTTGGCTGTTTGTGATAGCAAGTACTATTATCAAAATAATTTCTACTTTTTTTTTTTTTTTTATTAATCAGAGCAGAAACATTAAACTACAGCTTTTCTGTTCCCTTCAAAAGAACATGTGCTTGTTTTGATTGTAAAATGCCTATTATATAAATAACATTAGTTTTAGATAGGAAGGGCATAATAATCCTATTGGGCAGTGCTGAAATTTCTATTAAATCATAAACCATGTATTTGTCACATATTTTAGGGATAAGAAACTTACTAATATGTTAAATTAGTAAGTTTGAGATTATTAATGTTGAATAGTTTTCAACTTTTAAGTTGTGCCTATTACACTTTTTCAACGCTGAATTGATCTTCAGAAACTGTCACAAGTCATGACTTGATAATACCTCTATTGCCAAATGTTATTTCTGGCTTGATCTTTCCACTTAGTGGATAAATTTTTTGAAGTTAATACCAATTCTTATATAGACTAGCATTAGATCCTCTTTGGAGTGTATTACTAGATATGCATGTTCTGACAATCTTGTTAAATACTAGACTTTCATTACATTTTAGTTTTCTATATGTTCTATGTACTGTTCAAGCTTAGCTTGTTATAGATACCTGAATTTAAGTCAACACTTGATAGAATACCCCCTCTCTGAAGCATATACATATTTCATAAAATGCATACTTAGAAGAAAAATGTTAAACATGATTTTTTATTATTTTTGTGTTTGTTTGCTAACTTCTACTTTCTGAATATCTTAAAACTTTTTCTTTCTCTTCAGGTCCCTATTGTAAAGTTGACTGACAATGAGACTGATGTCAAAGTTGATATCAGCTTCAACATGCGTAACGGGGTAAAAAGTGCCAAGCTTATCAAGGTGAATAACTTTTCCCTCTCTTTCTTTCTCACTTAAGTTACTATCAAATTATTTGCAACTTTAAAAACCTCTATTTAACTGCAATTGTATTCACTCTAACTTTAATTAAATCCTGTTATTGGCTAAGAGTGTTTTACTGTGATTTCAGATTCATAAACAGACCAAAGGACACTTCCGAATTTGCTATTAATAAAAACTTTATATAAGGGAAAGATTCTGAATTTCTTAAAGTTGCTAATTTTCTATGAATTGGAAAGTAATAATGTTCTTGATTATTCCTTTTAAACTGACAAGTACAGATGTAAATGTGTTGAGTGACTAAAGGGAAGTAGCATGCCTTTTGACTTTCCTTTTGGTTTCAGTTCTACTTGTGAGTCTGAGTCCATGTGGAAACTGACCAAACAATAACTGGGTAGTACTAAATAAGAACTAGACCTAGAGACCTGAAAATTTAATGGCCAAAATGTTGACCATAACAACAAAGATGAGTCATGTAAATAATTCCTCATCCCAGAAATTCATACAGTCTATCGGCAGTTTGAATTGCTGTTGTAAATATTAAATGAATTTTTTTTTTTTTTTTTTTTTTTTTTTTTTATGCAAGCAAGCAAAATGTATGTGTTTAAAGCGGGTTTTTTGTTTTTTTCCTTATACTCCTGACAATTTGTAATTACAGTACATTTATCTAAAAGAGGTGGTTGAATAGGCTAACCTGATGAATTTTTCAAGATCTACAAGGCTGAACATAGTGATATTATTTATTAAAATTTCTTCAATGCTTTGTCGAGTTCCAATCCCCATTGGGTTTGTTATAATCACTTATGTGTGAATGCCCTTGGGAAAGACATGAATCTATCTCTTCTCCCTGCAGTTATGGGTTTATTAGTAAGGTCTATATCACTAGACCATTAATCTCCCCCTACCCTCACAAAAAATTCTTACAATCTAAAAATATTTTATGGCTTTAAACAACCTGCAAAGGGTTGATAAGCCATAGAAAACAATTAATCAATAAATTAAATGTATGACTTCATATTTATTTCTGCTAAAATTAATACTGAATTTTTCGTTTTCAACGCAGTCAAGATATCTTTAAAGTTACCATTTGTTTGGGACAAAATTATGTTCATTACAGTATGATACTGGGTGTAGAATAAGTATTACTAACTTGAAAAAGAATTGAGATGCCAAGGAAAATGTTATGATGAAAATGCATTTAGTAACAATTGATATTGTAAAACTTGAAAGCATTAGTTTTAATCAATAGGAACGGCTTTTCCATAAGCTCTTTGGCTTAATACCTTCATACTTACTGCTTTATCTTTGTTTTAACCATTTTGTGCAAACAAGATATTTTAGGAATTCTTAGATTTGAGAGAAATAATGAGAGGGTGGGAACAAGAAAACTGCTCCACTACATTAATATAAAAATTATTTTTGCCCAATATTGGTCTACTCAGCTTATGTAGCAAATTTAATTTTTTTCTCTCTCTCTTTCTAATGAGTTAGGGTTGCTTGTAGGAATATTTGATGTCTAGATCTTGAATTTTTTTTTTAGGTGGGAAGGAACTCACTGATGACTTACATACTTGAGGAATTTTGAAGAATGCCTCAGCCAAAACATGAGAATAAAAACAATAAGCATGTGAATACTAGTCTGAACAAATGGTTCAATAATAATGGCCATCTTTGGAATTTTGGGGCAATATTTTCCTAGTTTAGTATACTAAATATCTGAATGCTTATTTTAGTTGGCAGCTATTTTTGACTTAAATGAGTATATCTTGTTACCTGTATTAATCTCCCCACCTACATGGGACTTAATTTTCTGGAATATATCTGGTAGATTAAAATGTCATTTTTATCATTTTTTTGCTTTTTTCAGTCCTTTATGGAAGAATTTCCACACTTGAAATTTTTGGTATTGGTACTCAAACAGTTCCTCTTACAGCGAGATCTCAATGAAGTATTTACTGGTGGAATCAGTTCATACTGCCTTATTCTTCTCACGGTTAGCTTTTTGCAGGTAAGCTTACTTCAATTTCTTTGCTATTTCCCATTTTAATTGGAGATTTTACATCATATCATATTGTAGAAACATGAACCAGAAGAGAATATTAATGGAAGATTTCCTTAATAGAAACAATATATGTCTATATAATAACAAGTCCTATACCTACCTTCACCCATCAAGTGGTACATATACAGCAATAGATCTAAACTTATGTGACTCTGCAACATATCTAAACTATAGTTAGAAAGTACATTGATACATGTGGTAGTGACCACTTCCCAGTTGTGTTAGGAAACTCTGGATCTTTGCCATCTGAAAACTTAAGAACACTAATTAAAAACTTACACCAGAAGCCAATGTTGTTAAACAAGATTGGCCTTAGTTTAACAAAGAGTATAAAAAGCAATCAGATTGTGTCATGTTGTACTACCTAAGTTTAAATTACATCCAACTCAAGAAAATTTGAACATCTACAAAATAAATAGGGTTAAAGCATACAACAATTAAAGAATCCAAGTGATCCACATGGAAGAACTTTGTGTCCAATATAAATTTTAATACCAAAACAAAAACAATATGGAATATGATCCATAAAATCACTTGGAAAAATAAAAGCACTCCATTTAGACATTTATGTCAAAACAATATCAAAGAACATATTGCAAATTTATTAGCACAAAACTTTTCTCAGAATTTCAAAAAATTCTTGTAAGCTATTTCAGAATATCAAAACAAGAAAAAATTAAATTTCTATTCTAACAATGAAAATTACAACCAGGCTCTTATTTTACCAGAATTATTAGATTCTATAATAAAATCACCATTCAGCAGTTGGCTCAAGTGAAATTCACTGAGTTCTTATAAAAAGGGGAAAAAAAACATACCAAATGTTACCTTGAACTATCTACACAAAATTCTCAACATATTGGTTTGTGGTAATATTCCCAGTTACTGGAAATAAGCTACCATAATTCTAATCCCGAAACTTTGAAAGGACTTAGAAAATTCCTCAAACTCTCGTCCAGTTGTACTTATGAGTTCTTTATGCAAAACATTTGAAAGAATTGTTACTTGCTTTCTTGAAGCTAATAATAAAATTACAAATTTCCAAGCTGGCTTCAGAAAGAACAAAAGCACAATTGATCACCTGATTTGACTGGAGTCTTTTGTCAGAAATTCTTTCATTAAAAGGGAAGCTTTAATGGCAGTATTCTTTGATCTGGAAGATATGGTATCATGAAAGAGTTAAATGAAATGGGCCTTAAAGAAGACTCCCGATTCTTAACAACTTCCTGACAGAACAAACCATAAATTTCTGTATCAGCACCACACTATCAGATTTACATGAACAAGAAATGGGTTTCCATCCATCTCCAGGGTCTGTGACTCATTTTAGGAACCTATATGTCCCCAATTGAAAGCTCATATGCACATGAGCCACCTTTTGGCTTTAAGACCACCTAAATTTGTACTGCAATATTAACCAAATATTGTTTATGCCCAAATAATTCAGCTTACAACTGTGTTCTCCAGCCTCAATACAAAAAGTTAATAATTTAAAGGAAAATGTCATTAAACCGCTTGGCATCCACATAGAAAATAATTTCAAAGAAGTCAAGATAAACTCTTCTCTAATACTTGAATCTATTCTCTCAAAAACTCCTCTCTGGTTAATAAAACAGCCCACTGTAATATTAAGGCTGATAAAACACTCCAAAATTGAAATTGATACAACTGTGTATTCATGAAAGAAATTCATAATATCCTACTAAAACATACAAATTGTAAGCATATGTACACAGATGGCTCCAGAAATATTGATAGTTGGCTGTTCAGTTATACTGAACAAAACCATATTTCAAAAGCACCTACCTGACAAATGCTTAATTTTTAGCACAGAAGCTATGGCAATAAACACAAATGATGAGTCACAGATTCATTATATTTTCAGACTCCCTATCTGTCCTTACATTGCTGAATGTATAATTATCTGACCAACTCTATTATAGTCAAAGTTTTAAACGAAATCAATTTACTTGTGTAATCAAAAACACCTATTTTGTTGGATCCCTGGTCATATAGGCATCCAGGGAAATGGAAAGGCAAATAAGGCAGCTAAAGAATCACTAAAAATGAATATATCAAAAACAAAAGTTTCTCATACAGATTTCAAAACAGTAATTAATACGTATCATAAATAAATGGTAATAGTTATGAAATACTGACCAAAAATCGAATCTACACTTGGGATAAGACACCATAACACTAGACTTTTCTAAAGAGAAGTAGTCTTAACAGGAATCGGAATTGGTCATACCAATATCACACATCCTCTTAAAACTAGGATCCACCCAAATGCATATTATGCCAGGAGGCATACACTGTAAAACATTTTATTTTATGATGGACTATGCTGAATTTGGCTCTATCTCTAAACAATTTTATAAAGTGAATAGCCTTAAAGATCTTCTTAAAATGTTAGTGAAGAAGTGATTCTGACCTACTTGAGGAAAAGTAAATTATACAACAAAATTTAATCCAAACAACTTCACCTTCAGATGAACTATATAACTAGCTTCCAATTATATTTCACAAATTTTAAGACTTTGTAAGATATTATTCAATAGAAATCCATTTTTCAACATTAAATGGCCCAAGCGGGTTGATGTGCTGGTAAAATAAACAAACCAAACTATTGTCTCATATTAGTTGGTTTGTGACTTACAGTTTCATTTCTTTGCTATTTTTTTTTTTTCATTTTTGATATTAGGTAATGTATAATTATAGATGGACAAAGAACTAACAAGTTATAAACTTAATTCAAACTATATTTTTAAAAAATTAGCATCCATTGCCTCATTTTTGCACAATACTTTCAAATTGCTTTGACAAACATGTTCTTGGCAAATATGACAAGTTTGCACTTTTCTATCCATTTTAGGATCACACAAGGTGCATCATTTTTTTTTCTTTCTCTCATTGGATGATCCTTGGGCAATGTATGGCTCATGAGAGTTTGTAGTTGTATCAATACCTGCATGACCTGAATTCCTTCAGCATTTGTCCATTTTTGGATTATTTCCAGATTTAGTTTTATGAACAATATAAATGATGAGAGAGCTGAATCACGAGATCTTCTTGTGAGGGTCCAGAGTTTTGTAGGATGGACGTCTTCCTTGTGCTCTTCTAATTGGTTTAGGAGACCAAATTTCAGAATTACCCTTCAAATAATACTTTTCATTCATCATTGAAGGGTTTGAAGAATCATTTCTGTCAGCCTTGTTATTATTCTTATCCGATTCTGAAAAAGTAATGCTGACATCACTTTTATAATCATTTTCAGAAAAAGGAATGGCACCTACTTAGGATGGACAATATTTTTTATTTAATTAAAAATTTCAACCATGGATCCAATGGACCCACTTGGTAATAGAAGTCACCCATCAAAATTTTGTTCTAAATTTATTTCCTTTATGTCGATGATAGAATAACCGTTATTTTTCTTCATTTTCTGTCCAAATTATATTTTTGTAAGGATGAAAAAAAAATTGAGTCCATTGGACCCATTGGTAGACTGCAGGTTAAATAAAAAAAACATTGACTTGTGTGGGTAGCAGTGTCATTCTTGTCAAAATTAAGAATTAAATAATACAGAAAAGATTGTTGTTATATTTTTAATTCATTTCAGTCACAATTGCCTCATATTATTTGATTTGTGACTTCCAGTCTCATCTTTTTTCTATTTTTTCATAAAGTATCACAATGGAATATTTGTATAAATCTTACATTTATATATTTTTATATATTTAATCTTTCCTTTGCAGCTTCATCCTAGCTTAAATCCAAAATCTCACCATTCAAATAATCTGGGAGTGCTATTGATTGAATTCTTCGAACTGTATGGTCGTAACTTTAATTATTTAAAAACTGGAATCCGAATTAAGGACGGTGGGTCATATGTCCCCAAGGAAGAAATCCAGAAAGGAATGGAAAATGGTTACCGTCCATCTTTGTTGTGCATTGAAGACCCATTGACGCCAGGTAAGAATAGTTCTTTTTTTTTTTTTTTTCTCTGAGTCCCACCAGACATTCCTGTTTGTCTCATCTGTTTAGTATATGTTTATAAATTTTCTTTTTTCTTTAGATTTTGCAAGAGTTAAAAATTGAAAGGAATTGATTACCAATTTACTAAACTAGTTGTACCAATCCATTTTGAAGTGAATTTAAATATTTCACATTGTGTTGAAGTTGGATTTTTCTTAAAATCTTTTTCTGTAGAAGATGCTACTTAAGTAATAAAGCATAATGGGTATATTCACTATGTAATATGTGTGTGGGGAGGGTTGCTTCTAGTACTCCCTCCCCCTCCAGACTTTGATAGGCCGGGTTATTGGTAATGAAGAATTCTTTACTGTAATTATTTTATAAGGACACTGTCCTTCTGTCCTAAAGCTTTTTGTTAAAGATTAACTAAAAGCAAAAATATTGATATTGACCATCTTCATGATAGAAAATATTCATGGGAAACAAATAATTTGTTGTTCAGTATTTAAAAAAAAAAAAAAAAAAATCACTTCTGGAATTATACAACCACCAATGAACAACATAAGCTGCTGACAGTGTGTTGTAATCAAGTAAATGGTTAAAGAAATAACAAAACAAGTGTTACAGGTATATCATATATTAAACAGCAAGTACAACAGAAGAGTGTTACACAACTAGTGAGTGTGTGTCGGTTGACCCAGCGTTCAATCTATTCGACTGTTATATTTACCAGCCTCTCTACGAGGTAGGATGTGGCACAAGGCTGAGTTTAATGTGGGGCAATCCAAGCCTGTAGGCTCGGCCAAAAATTCCTTGTAGACCCCATATAAAATGGGGTCGGGTAGCTGTTTTCTGAGACGAGACTCTGTCCTTCGATATAGCCTCGTCTGGGGATCCTCTCTGCCCAGAGGCAGAGTGTTTGATCAGCACAGCTGGAACAGATCTATTCAACTGTTAACATTTAACAGCCCCCCACCACCACCACCACCACCACCACGAGAGATGTATTTGGCACAAGGCCAAGTTTACTGTGGGTTCACTGAGCCTGTAGGCTCTGCCAAAAGTATTCCTGTAGAACCCGCATAAATGGGTCCGGATCTGTCAACCTCCTCAGATGCAACTTTGCCCTTCAGCAAAGTTTCATCTGGGTTCCTCTCTATCCAACAGTCACAGCCCGGTTGAACAATCTATTCAACTGTTAATATTTAACAGCCTGAATGAGAGATGTATACTACACAAGGCCGAGTTTACTGTGGGTTCTCCTAGCCCGTAGGCCTGGTCAACAATATTCCCTTAGAACCCGCATAAATGGGTTCAAGGTCTGTCTACCTCCCCGGGCGAAACTTTGCCCTTCGGCAAAGCCTTGTATGGGTTCCTCTTCACTCAAGGCAGAGAGTTCAACAGTAACGAACAATCTGTTCGACTGTTAATATTTAACAGCCAACACGAGGGATGTATGTGGCACAAGGCCAAGTTTACCGTGGGTTCTCCGAACCCGTAGGCTCAGCCAAAAATATTTCCTTTGAACCCACATAAACCGGTTCAGGGTCTGACAGAGAGATGTAGCATGTTTATCAATTTCCCTTTATAGCCACACAACATTGAGTTGAGAGAAAAGACGATGAGGTTGTTAGAGCTCCTTTTCATTACCAAACTTTTTTGCTGCATTTGCTGTAGAAAAATCTTGTCCTGTGTGAGATTTGTTGACTGATGTAGAATTCCTTCCTAAATCTTTGTGAAATCATGTTGGTAAAAAAAAATATGCCATATGTAATAGAATTTTTTTATTTTTCCCTAAATACAAGAATTAAAATGACTTTTTGAAGATTTTTTTTTTTTTTTTTTTTTTTTACTAGTTTTCAGATGGATCATGTATGAAAAGTAATGTCTTGCAACTGCTTAAAGGAAATTTCTTTAGTACCCTGACAAATTAATGTGAGATTTTTAGATAACATCAGAATAGTGTTGTGGAATTATTTGCTTAATTTTAAAAATGTTTAACCAATATTCTTAATGAGTGAGTTTTTCACTTTAAACTGTTTAATGTCTTGACAGCTGAATGATTAAAAATATGATTGTGCATATGTTCATCTTTGGTCCACAGCATTATTTGCCAATGACTCTTAAGTTAATGCTGTGTTAGTATGAGTTGGCCTCATTGTTTTTCTATTTCATCTAATCATATTTCAAGTTCATGCTTTAATAGAAAGAACACTATAGGAATTCCTGTGTTAGAAAACAGTTCTTGCTATATGCCAATGTTTTCAATAAGTAGTCATGCTCAAATGCAAAATAAGTAACAGAACTGTCCAACAGACAGAATTGCAATAACAAGAAAAGAACAGGGCAAAAATAATATAAAGCAAGTAAACAATATATGCAAGACAAATCAACAGTAATATGACAAAAAGTTCACAAAGTAAGAATTGCAGTTGGCACACAAAGCAGACTCTTGACAAGTGAATGTAGCATTCTGACTTAGACAAGACAGACCAGTACAGAGTCAGATGAAACCAAAAGCCAGCCTATTTTATTGGCTAGGAAAAAATCCCAGCATGTATTTGTGTGCTTCTGCCTATAAAATGGGGAGGGACTAGTGTTTAGCTGTCATTCCTATGACAATTGAAACCAACAAATCTGAGCTTTTGAATTTTTTCATTTCAGGAAATGACATTGGCCGCAGTTCCTATGGTGCTATGCAGGTTAAACAAGCCTTTGAATCTGCTCTCCTTATGTTAGAGCATACAGTGTCTCAATATTCTTACCTTTTGCAAGGTAATCAAAGGTAAGTCTCAAACAAGTATTTTTTAAATTGGTTACATTGTTTGTAGGTAATGTTACAATAAGTTAAGCAGATGGCTGCTGCTGAGTTTCTTAACTATGGAATCTGGAATAGCAATTTGATTTCATTTTTTATTGACTTTCACTGTTGTCACCTCTACAAAATCTTAAGTATTTGATATTTAGTATTTATTCAGAAAGTACTTGTTTTGACTGAGCCAAGGTGAAACAAGAATCTAAATATATATGCCAACAAGCATTATGTAAAGATGCGAGTACCATTTTTTTGATAATTGTTTTTATGCAGATTTGTCTATATTCCAATAGTTTTAAATTAAGAAAATAAACAAAAACTTAAAAAAATAAATAAATAGAACTTAAAAAGTGGCTTGCAAAAATCATATTCTTTCTAATTGACATGTGTACATTGGTATTAATAGTTCCCCTATTTTTAAATTTTTTTTTTTTTTTATATATCTATAGAAGACAGGCTCTCCTAGTGCCTGGTTCATAATCACCTCCTCCTTCTCCTGAAAAGGAGTAGTCTTGTCTCTTGTTTCCTATTTAAGAAGAGGTCCCCACTTCCTTTTCTCTGATGTTAATAGTGGTGCTGTCATGAATTTTTATATGTGTGGATGGTGGCTACATCTCTTCATACCGAGGGCACTGGGTTGGTAGTTTTCTGGTTGCAGTTCCCAACTGCTAATTAGGAGCCCAAACTCTTACATAGCATTTTGAGGGGCTGCTTTGACCAACCGTTGCATATCTGGGTTCTTGTAATGCCATGTGATGCATGGAAGGGTGTCTCTGCAAGCACCTCTGGTGGGCAACCCTGAGACCACACTCTTGCAGTCTGCACTAGTTCGTGCACATTACATTAGACACCCAACTGCTACTATTACCCTAGGCCTTTTCTTACCAAAATAACACTTCATGACTATAAGCAACCAAAGCTATAAACCTAAACCAGCTCAACAAAAAACACCTAAACCCCTTAACCTTTCTTTCTCCAACATTCATGGTATTTGTACCAACTTCTGCAGTGTGGAATCATTCCTCTTCAAGAGGTCTCCAGATATCCTACATCTCTGCAAAACTAATCTTAACTCTTCAACCCCTCCTAATTTCTTGATTCCTGGCTACCTTCCTCTCCTTAGAAAAGACTAATGTCTGCATGCATGGCCTGGTAATTTGTCTGTGAACATCTCCTGTTGGCTAGGGAACTCTCTCTTGAAATCTCTAAACGATTCTTACTTGTGTATCCATCTCTCTCTACTTAACTCAGTCAGCAATCTCTTCTTTCTCTACTGTTCCTCTTCCTCTCAAGACTTGCATACTACATACTTGCCATCTCCCTACACACATTTGCAAATCTATTGTGTTTGGTAACTTTAATGCCCACCATACCAGGTGGCTTAAACACTCTGTCACTGGCCTCGCTGGCATCCAAACCCTTAACTTCTCAATCTCTCATGCAAGTGGTTGACTTCCCCACACATTTCCACAGTAACCCCTAACAGCTGCACTTCTCGATCTCTTTTTTTTTTTTTTTTTTTTTTTTTTTTTTTAAACCTCTATCCCTGACTCATCGTGCTATGCAGCTCTGCCCTCTTGGCAACTCTGATCATGCGATAGTGCCTGTAAACATCTCCTCCTGCTCCCTCACCAGCCAAGAACCTCCAACCACAGAATATCCTTCTGTTATCAATGAGCAGATTGGGACTTGTTCTGTGATTTCCTTTATGATATTCCTTGGAATTAATTTTTTTAATCATCCTGTTCAAAAATGCATGTATGAGGTCTCCTCCTGCATGAAAGCCAGCATCAATGCTTTCATTCCAGCAAGAAAATACTAAGTTAAACCATGTTCATCTCCTTGGTTCTTGCCTGTATGCTTGGCTGCTATAGCCTACAGGAATCACTTCTTCTAGCTGATGGTCCTGGATATGATGTGAAACTGCATCTGATGGTGTGGATCCCAGTTGGGAGCTTTGGGGAATGTGGAATTACCCCTTAGTTCCCATTGACCTGGAGTGGTGGTACCTGGTGGTACTATGGATTAAATAGAATTTCTATGTACAAAACCTATGTCTATACCACATGATTGCCTACTAAGCAAACCAATGGGGCCACCTGTTTGCAGTGGGTGGCAACCCATGATGTCCTGAGATGGTCCTTGTGGCTGAGTGACCCCTGACCTGCAAGTAACCAGAAATCCCACAGGAGCTAAGTGGAATCCCACAGCAGTTCACTTAGCTCCCAACTGGAGCTTGACAGATGGATGGAATAGCCCAGTTCAATCCAATTGGCTAGTCACATAGTGGCAAGGGCTAGTTGAGTTGAAAGAGAATAGTAATGATATGGCTGTGAGTCTCTACACCACACTATACTTGGGTAATGATGGTGAGGGGATGCAGGTTCTTGCAGCCACCTTCGGCCCAACTATACTGTCAGTGCAGTCCTGACAGATCGGGGCGAATGGGATAAGTCTCACCTGATGGCGTCCCTTATGAAGAAACTCTGAGGCAGGTGGGAAGTATGAATGGTGAAACAAAAAATTAATAAATAGCAAATATTTATAAAAGAACCAAGAGAGGATATTGAAAGCTCAGAAACTGAGTGAAGATGGAAAACCAGAAACAAAAAATCCCCCACTTTCATTGTCATAGAATCAATCCAATAACAATATTGTCCCCCTTTATAATCCAAGACATTATATTGGCCAACAGAGGCCCAAGATCCATCACAAAAATACAAAAAAAAAATAACACTTCTGATAGAAGTAAAAACCTCAAAAGATGCAGAAATTCTGCTAAAGACAACTCAATTTGACAAAAGTAAAAACATACCCCCCATCACCACCAATTCTTAAACTCCTCCAAGGAAGTCATAAAAAGTTTGGATCTCTCATTATGCTCATCAGAAGAAATTAAGAATGATGCTTGATTAAAACTTCAAGGCAAAACAGGCATCAAAAAGATATGAATTCAGTAAAACACAATACTAATAGATACAAATACATACATTCTAACCTTTTAATAATTCTCTACCATCAAAGGAGATTAAAATAGGTTACATAATAACCAAAGTAGAACCATACATCCATAACTCCCATAGATTTCACGAGATTTGGCCATGTACAAAAACAATGTATGAGAACTCCAATATGTCACAGATGTGGGGACTCAGAAATTGACCATAGAGAAACAACTTTTGACAAAACCCCTTTGTGTCCAAACTGCAAGCAAAGTCACACTGCAAACTCTAAAGAATGCAAAATCTGAAAAAAAAGAGAACATATAGTAAAAATTAAATAGACTGAAAACTTCAAAGAAGCAAGAAAGTGCATAGAAGCCTCTACACTACCAACATCATATGCAGGTATTACAAGGACTCTCCTGAGGGAAATGCAGGAGAATTAGTCAATGGGAAAGCAGGAAGAGCTGACATCCCTTTATAAACAAATTAAAATGAAACTAATAATTTCTGAAGAGCTTAACATGCATGAACTCATTGCCCTCCATTGGAACAAGTCCTACCCATTCAACCTCAAGCAAAAAAGGAGAACCTGTAACTACCAGAAAAACAACTTCAAAAAACTTAAACCAAAATACAAAAAAAACTTAAAGAACTAGAAGATTCCAAACAATCACAAGAGAAACAAAAGGCCTAGACAAGGAGTAATCCCACTCAGCACAACCCTGAAAAAACAGGATAAATGGATGTAGAGCAACAAAACTTGACAACCTCCCCTCCCTCCTTCCAGGACCAAGAGAATTATCAACATCAAAACAAAGACCACCAAAAGAACCATATGGAAAATGGAAACAAAAAAAAAAAAATCACTCAAGGAACAAAATGGAAGGACGATGCCTCAGACAGAACAGAGCATAGAAAACATGGCTACTTAACACACTAAAAAAATAAACCATGTCAAACAGAATATTGCAGTGGAATGTGAGAGATGCAAAAAATAATTTCAATGAAATACAACTCCTTGTTACAACATACAACCTAGCAGTATTATGCCTCCAAGAAACTCACCTGAAAGAAAATGACATATTAGACCTTAATAGAGTTTCAGGTGGGTCATCAATACTCATCAACAATAATATCCCTCATAGTGAAATAAAATTTAAAACAAATATACAAGCAGTTGCAATCTTGAAAAGGCATACAACACAACCTTCAGATATGGTATTTAAGGGACCTGGCACTGAGAAGCAGAATGCCAATATTTTTTTCTAAATTTCTGGCATTTCAAAGTACAGATAAATGACACTTTTGATCAAAAAAAGAATAAGAAATGGGAGTGCCACAAGGTAGCATTCTATCGATTACTCTTTTTAACATAAAAAATAAATGACACAGTTAAAAACATTAAAACTGGGACTGACTGTATACTATACATGGATTATTTCTTGATTTACTACAAATCAAAACACATGCACACAATGGAACATCAACTCCAATTCTGCCTCAATAGGTAGGACAGGTGGACCACAGAAAATGTTTTTAAATTCTCAACAGATAAGACCAAGTGCAATACACTTCTGTCAAATCAGAAAGATGCACAATGAACCCACCTGTAAATTGGATAATGTGGTCAAACATAAATATCTAGGCCTTGTACTTGACAAAAAAATTATCATTTATCCCACATATCAAACATGTACGAGCAAAATGCAACAAAGCAATGCAACTCCTCAGAATGGTAGCTCACATTGAGTGGGGAGCCAACAAAAAAAAAAACTCTACCAATCATTGGTACGTTCAAAACTGGACTATGCTTGCTTCATTTATGGAGCAGCCAGAAAAACGTATGTAAAAGAATTAGAAACCATACACCATCAGGGAGTTGGGCTTACATTGGGGACTTTCAGCACATCCCCAGTTAAGAGCCTATATATAGAAGCAGACAAAACCTCATTACTACTAAGATGACAGAAACTGGCTCTAAAATATTACACCAAATTGTCCTCAAACCCAACCTACAATAGGGTGCTCCACCCTCAAAATAAAACCTTGTTCAAACAAAAGGAAAAATTTATTACACCATTGACTATATGCATGGAAGAGCTCACCAATGAAGCCCAAATAAACACAATACATATAAACAAAAGCATCACTTCAAATACACTACACTGGTGACTAAAACCACCAAAAGTCTTACTAGAACTTACAAGCGTCCAAAAATCAAAAACAAATCCATTGACCTATCTAGAAAATTACAAACCATTAAATACACTTACCCAAACCACATATACATATACACAGATGGATCCAAAATTGGAGAAAAAGTAGGATATGCTGCCATAATGAACAATCTTAAAACAATGAAATGTTTGCCTGATGGAATCTCAATCTAGTGCCGAGATACTAACAGTTGATTTCGCACTAGAAATTATAACCTCAAACATAATAAATTCATAATTTTCTGATTCAAAATCCATGCTTATATCTTTGAAAAATACACACACCTCAAATCCCTTAATCATTAAAACTTTTAAATAAAATCAATAATCTCTCAAAAAACTTTAAAAAAAAAAAAATAAATAAATAAATTTCACCTTCTGCTGGATACCTAGCCACAGTGGCATTCACGGAAATGAAAAGGCTGATAAGGCAGCTAAAAATTCATTAGATCTGCCCACCTCTAATGCTAAAATCCTATATGCAAACCTACAAGTATATATTAAAAAGTAGAAGAGAAAGTGGCAAGAATCCTGGAACAACTCAGACTATTTAACATTAAACCAAATATCAGAGAATGGCTCCCAGGTTATAGGAAAACAAGAGAAGAGGTTGTCCTGGCCAGGCACCATATAGGACACACACACACACACACCACACATCAATGCTTGCTCAAAAATTATAATAAAAGGATGTGTTAATGCTTTTAAGAAGTTCATAAACAATATGAAATCAAAATGTGTGTATTGGAGTGTAAACTTGATACATTTCAGGGTAGGTACCTAGTGTTGGAATATAAATTGTATATGGTGTGGGAAGTGTGTAATATATAGAATGACTATTGAACACCAAATTTGCTGTACTGTCAATGACTTCTGCTATTGATGACATTGTGCGTGCTACTCCTTGCATTATTGGTATTTTGTTTATTTTACTGTCAAGTCTCAAAAAATGTATTAAATTTACATTAAATTTAATTTGTCTTGCATAAATTTCAAGATGGGTTATTCCTAAATTTTCATTTGAGGATGAAACAGTGCTTGATACTTTAATTTAATTTTAATAATTATATTGAGGTTTTTGGCTCTTGTTTTTGAAACATGAGAATTCTTATGTAGCGAAGGAATCATTTTTTTAAAAAATAATTATATATAGATAGAGATATATAAAGTTATTATTACTGGATACTTGTATTTGAAAAACACCACATTTTTTTATCTTTGTCTTAAACTGTATTATATCTATTGGTCTGCACAGTTGAGAAATGTGCTCTCTCACATGGATCTGACCTGTGTCTCCCTTTGTATAAGAAATCAGTTTGTTTTGGTGTTCTTTACCACTCAGCCATGAATTGTCATGGTTTAGCAATTTTCTCTGCATCTCTCCCAGCATGCTCCTTCAAGGTATTCAGTGTGTGTATTGATGATGATTATTATTATTTTCTTAATCAATTCACCCTAAGCAAGGCAATAATGTTACTAAGACATAAGGAGTGTTGAGAGTAAAAGAGAATGAAAAGACTTTAGAAGAAACCATAAACCCAATCTTAAACAGGAATCAATGGATAAACCTCTACTCTTATTCAAAAGACCCACAAGTAGGATAAACTTGGATGATAGGCAATGTGTATGAATGAATTAAACAGAATTCAGTGTAATGTGTGTATTTACCAAATTTTTTTTTTTTTTTTTAATTATTGTGGATTAATTTTTCTTGTAGTATTCTTGGCCGGATCATAAAGGTGACGAATGAAGTTGTGGAGTATCGAAAGTGGATCAAAGAAAATTATGCCAAACCTTCAATTCCACTTCATGTTGTGAATCACCAGGAGAACAAGCAAGATCGTCCAACAGAAGTCTTAGGTCAATCCCAGTGTGAAAATAGGTAAGATAATCTGCTGTTGTATTCTTCAGCAAATTTTCAGTTAAAAGTATGAGGGTTGCAGCAGTGGCGTAGCTGGAGTTTGCGGTCTGCTCTGGGCAGTACTTTTGGTCCACAGTGAGTTTTTAGAAAAGAAAAAGAACAATAGCATAAGTTTGATAATTTTTGGAAAAAAAGCAACGATAAGGAAGAAGATACTGTTCAAATGAAGCCAATTTGTCTTTGATATGGCTGGATCAAAGCCAGCCAGCAATAAAAAGAAAATAATTGTCTCCAAAACATACTGTCAACTGGTGGGAATAAACCCCACTTACAAGACAAAAAGCAAAAGCTGTAAAAGAAATTTAAACATTTTTAAAGGTCTTGATGGGTTGGATTAAGTGAATTTTGTGAATCCACAGCTTTTTCACACCTATGTGAGAAGTCTAGACTTTGGCATCAGTTCTTTGATTTTGATTTTTCATGTTTGTGAACTGTTAGTGAAAAAAAAAATTAAATAAGTGAACTTTTTTTTTTTTTTTTTTTTTTTTATTTCAATAGATAAATAAATTGAAATAATTCCAATGCTTTAAGAATCACATGCATTCAAATTTTTTACAGAAATATTGAACAGAAATTTCAAAGAATTGAAAATTAATATTTTTTAAGTGCAGAAACTTTATTTAAAGTCCAAAAAAATTTTTTTATTACAAGTTTTTATGGTAGTAAAGCAATACAATGTTTTATTTATTTGCTTAGTTGTAGTTTTATTAAGCAAAATAGACAAAGAATTAAAAATATATAATTTTCAGACTTTTAATTCTTAGTTTACACTAAGTTTGTTAATAACTTCAGCTACGTAAAACAAATTTAAAAAGACATTGCATTTTTCTTACATTATTAAAACTTTAAAGAACAAACCGTGTTTCTGTTAACGTGGCATTTAATTTATGACTCCTCACTTGTTAGAATTGAAATATTAAAAAAAAAAAACAACAGATAAATTATGAATTAAAAGTACAGTGTTGTTTCTTTTTAAATAAAACAGAAGGGATATAAAGAAAAAAGTTATCTTTTTAGTATCTAATTTTCCTGATTTAGAAAAAAAAACTTTGAATTGAATTATTAACCTTTAGCATTTTGCATTATTAAATATTACTTCCCTTTCCACTGCATTCTTTTTCAAGGCCTCTCAAATGCAGTATCTCTATTGTTAATTTCATAGTTGTGTTGCCATAGAAGGATATGGCAACACAATTATGAAATTCAAACACTATTGTTCAGGGATCAGTCACCTTCAGTGGCAGGATAAACTTTTTGTACAGCAAAGGAAGTTACAGAGCAATAAAGCTTGATCCCTTAAGTGATATAGAATTGTAAGCACTTATAATAATGATGATGATGATGATGATACAAGGTTTAGTGTGTTTTGACTGTTAATGAATTTGATGCTTGCTTGCTTCTCAAATTGTGGCTGCATTGTGTAACAAAACTCTTATTCCTTTTTGCCTGTTTTCTTCCCTGCCACAGAACATCAAATGTATGTAATGCAGGTTCTGTGTCCAATCGGTGTAGTATTATCCAAACTGGTGAAAGCGAAGCTTCTGATTCTAGTGGTTCCATTTACTGCAAATCATCATCCAGCTCACACTGTGGTAGTTCTAGCTGCAGTATTGCTAGTGATGAGGTAAGTTTCAAACCTTCTACTCAATTATCTGCATCTTCACATTTTTATTTATTTGTGTGGAGATATATATACATATATATATATATATATGTGTGTGTGTGTGTGTGTGTGTATGTATGTATGTATGTAGCTGAAACTGAGTTTTAATATACATATTTTTTTTAGGAAATGATATCTAATATCCAATATTTCAGGCAGTTGTCAAATTGGATTCATTGGGGAATGTTGTGACTTTTATGTACTTTATAAAAGTGCTGCTAGTTGGATTTCCAGTGACCAGATATTTTCTATGTCACAGGAAAGTAAGAAAATCCCATAATTTTACATTGATAGGACAAAACATGCCACCTGTAACGTGTGCATTTTACTGAATTAGGACAATGAGTCTTTCATTGATAAAATTATTTTATTTGTGGAAATACTTTTGATCAACAATTGTCGGATTAAGTAAAAGGGGAAATCCTTTTGAGTAGATAATTTTTTATTTTTTAACTGTTGAAAATGCTGTTCATATATTCTTGGCAGTTCACCCATTCCTCACTTCAACACTAAAGATTCTTTAAGCAAGAAATTTAATTTTCTTTATGCACTCCTCAAATATTATTAAAAGCTACTATTTTGATTAACTCATATGTTCTGAAATTGTCATTTTTAACTGTTCTGTGGTCTGAATCATCCAATACATTAATCAGTCTTTTGAATAAATACATTTATACATAATTATACACACACAGAACAAATGTTCCATTCTTGATCTTTATAATTTGTTTAAAGATTGATATTTACTTCCTCTTCGTACTTTTCATAATCTCTCTTCCTTTTTCTCTAAATTTAAAGGCTATTTTGAGAAATGTCCATTCCATATTCACATCTGAGTATTCATCCATTTATATTGCTCTTAAAATTGATATTAATAGCTTATCTAGATAATTTCTGTCCATCCAAGGTTGTGAAGTTCTGTTTTCAAGATCAATGGAAATAAAATGAAGTCTGAATTTAAATCCAATGACTATTCCCCACCCCCAGATCCTCTCCAATATTAAAATGAAGTTTTATACTTAGTAAATCTCAGTGAAATTCACTGCTATAATACAGATATTCTTGATTTAGTAAATTCTGTTAAAATTGTTTGCATTTTGTATATGTGAAAATTCTTTTATAGTACCGCATTTAGCTGGATCAAATTGTTAATCTCTTTTCAATCTCTCTTTGTTGGTCTTACATTTTGTTTTCTGCTCTTCAGGACTCTGATTGCAGTGCTGAGGGAGTTGGAGGAGGCAATAAAGTCCACCATTTTGGTAGTGGCGGCAGCAGCAGCAGCAGTAGTAGCAGCAGCAGCAGTGGCAAGTCTCACACAACATCATCAGCAACACGGAGTCGAGATCAGAATGTTGCCCCTGGAACAGGGTCCAAGGCACGAGACACTAGCACAAGCAGTGTCTCCTCAACACGGTCCTTGCCAACCACAATGTCAGCAGTCCCGACCACAATGGGAACTTACCCTATTATAAACAACATTAAAACAATGTCCTCCTCAAACACCTTGAACTCTCATCACCTCTATCCTGGCAATCATTACCTTGACATGAATGGACACACCTCGAAAAATCCTCTCGTCCGTCAAACATCTTACCGAATGACCCAACCTCCTCATACGACGCCACAAGGAAGCAAAGTTTATCGTTCTAATAACACAAAACGAAGGAAAAACACTATAAAAAGAGACGGTGTTCAAACTGCTGGCAATGGGGGGAATAGATGACCTTCTTGTCATGGCTTTTGGTTCTAACACCTTGTTCATATCTTCTCTGGATGTTTGGCTTCTAATGTACAATGTCCAGTTACTGGTGGGTGTGTTCCCTTTTTCTTTCGCTTTGTCCACAACAAAGCATTTAACCAACATAAAGATTGTTCCGAATCGGAAGAAAAAAATGTAACTGATATTAGATAGGCAACTGGTTAAAAATGAACTTTTTATATATATATATATAAAAAAAAAAAAAAATTTAAAATGACTGCTAGTTGAGATCTCAACACGACTTACAATTACATGAAAAATGAAAAAAAAAAACTAATACATAATAACAGTAAAAGGTTTGACTAAACAACCAAAAAAAATCTTGTAAAAAAAAAAAAAATTTTCATCACTCACTCTCTCTCACACACACACACACACACACACACACACACACACTCTCTCTCTCTCTCCAGGGATTTCTAAAGATTCTAGTCTTCATTTAAAAAAAAAAAAATCGGAAAAAAATGTGATAAGAAAAAAAAAAATTTTTTTTTTTTTTTTTTTTATAAAATTGTGGAATGCTGAATCTCAATCTGTGATCCCTTTGCCCAACATCCTGCACTCTTCTACCCTTTAACCACTTGCCACCTGCCAGACATCTCCTGCTGCTTATACAGTCCATTCTGTATTCCCTTTATATCATGACTGATGTAAGGGTCATGGGCGTGTAGTAGGTATAGCAGCCAGCCAAAGAGAGCCAGCAGAAATCATGCTGTCCAGGAGTTGAAATTTGAAATAGTCTTCAGAAGACATTCCAAGAGGGAATCATCTGTTTAAAAAAAAAAAAAAAAAAAAAAAAAAAAAAATTTTTTTAAATCTCTATATAATGTAAATTCACTTCACATTCTAATAAATTTATCATTTCATAGGGGGTGGGAAGGATGGGGGTAAAGAGTTTCTCCTAACAGGAGTACATAAACTATCCAATGCCTCTTACTCCCCTCTTCATAAGAATGTATGTATGCATGTGTGAGAGAGAATTGCATGGTTACAGTTGTCTGAATAATCAAAAAAATATACATACATGTATTGTCTGAAACTAAACAATTATTGAATCTCTCAAGAAAAAGGTACACATTTTTCTTGTATGCAAAATGTTTAAAAAAACAAACAAAAGGGAAGTTTTTTGGTCTTTACAGCCATTTCATTTCCCTACCTACAAAGAAAAAATGTCCGTATGGGAGGCAAAAATCCCATCTGCTGCTGACCTCATACCAACTCACATGAGCCAACACTACACCCCCCCCACCTCTTCCCGCTGCACAACTGATGACAACCACAGACATTATGGCTACCCTCCATTTGTTATAGATCATTTCATTTTTTTTTTTTTTTATCTTTTATTTTTTTTAACATAATTCATACTGTAATTATTTTTTCCTTTGTACACGGTGTCTTTACACATTATTTTTTTCTTTGCTTCTTGTATGTGGTTTCCATATGCTCTTGCTACTGGTTCTAAATCCCCTGATGATTCTTTTGCAATTTAGTTAGTCAATCAACTGCCTAAAATATTTATCTATTAAGTTTTTCTATTGCCCCATTACTTACACACACACACACACACACACACACACACACATATATATATATATATATATATATATATATATATATATACATACACACACACACACATTTTTTTTTTTTTTTTTTCAATTGAAAATTTTATTCAAAATCCACAGGTTTAAAATTTATCTTTTGTTTTGGGGCTACACTAAAATTCTGTACATAGACCAAAATTCATTGTATATCTCTACCATAGATATTTTAGGTGTGAGGAGTCACAAAAATTTCAACTTGGCTTTGAATTTACTTTATTTATATATATATATATATATATATATATATACACACCTCACAGCTTTTTCCCTCCTTTCATAGGGAATGGGATTCTGGAGAATTCTTAATTCTATTAATCAGAAAATATATCTAATTCTTCAACCACTGCAATTTTTCCTCATCAATTCATAGTCCCGTGTTACTACTAGTCCCTCCCTATTTCATCTCATTCCAATTATTAGGTAAAAATATTTGAATTGCAAAATGACAGTTGTAAATAATTTTAATATTCTTAAAATAAAAAAATTAAAACGTGTGTATATAATATATATAAAATATAATTTAGATGGTAATTTAAGACTTAAAACAAGTTTAAGAAGTTAGGCAATTTTAACCAAACCTAGGTGGATCTAAAATGTTGAGTTGAACAAAAGAATATGGATTTGTTTTCTTTATTGGTCATGAAGGGATTATTTTTCTCTTCTATCTCTTGATATCAAAACAGACTAGACTTTACTCTTATTAATATTAAGGCTGAAGTATCTTCTGCTTGTTATCTACATCCATAATTGTAGATAACATTGCATCTAATAAGGAATTCTACCCCCCCCATCTCCCCTCATAAACATTTTAGCACTGCAATTCCAGAATCTTTCTGCTATGACATTTTATCTTATTTTAAACGTGTTGACAAAATACAAAAAAGAAATAGGAATTTTATCATTGCTTTTTTCCCTCCTTAGCTTTTTTACTGTTAAGCCAAAGTACTTGTGGTTTCAAAAAAATTCCTTTGCTTTCTGACCATTTTCTAATGACTTGCTGCATTTACTTTCATATATGGTTAATAACCTTGCTTCATCTCCTTTTCTTTAAAAAAAAAAAAAAAATTTAAAAAAAATAACAAAGCCTCACAATTAAAAGCAAACAAAACTTCTAACCCACACACCTTTAAAATGAACCTACTGACTTATCAGTCTATAGAAGTGTAAAATGTTCAGCTTTGGGACTTATTTTAGTGCTAAATGCTTCCCCAAAAATCTCTCATATTTTAACATTAATCTTCTGTAAATTGTCCGTTTACCAAAAGAAAAAAAGTGATATTATTCAATTTGTATTAGGGATTGTAATAAAGATTTGTGTATGTTTTATTATATAATTTTTTTTTTTCTCTTGTAAATAAATTTGTTAGTCTTACAAGAGGAAAGTATATAAATTAGTAAACTTCGACTATGCAAAACCATGAAACCTGGTTGTTCACCAAAAACTAAGGATTAGTGCTGATGTGGATACACTAGATTATTTTGGATGCCTACACTCCCAAGTTTAAAAAGGAACTTTAAATTTGAATGTGCATTTCTTTTGGTGCCAAATTTTAAAGTTTGAATTATCAAAATTCAAAGCTAACCTGAAATGGCTAAATATGAAGAAAATGCTGTTGTAAAGCAAACTAGAAATGTTGTGACTTTAGCTTGGGAACATTACTTTGGTGTCAAATAATTTTCAGTCAAAGATTTTGTATCCAATGTTTGTCCACCATTAAAACTAAGAAAAAAAAATTCTGTTGTCAGCCTCTTTGCAAAGGAGAAAGGTAATCCTATCTGCAAAAGAAGTTAGTTGTTTTTCTCCTATCAGTTATGGCTGTATGAGTTTTTCATCTTAAAAAGAAATGAAACTTGCTGCTTGTTTTAATTCACAATTTCGTTAATTTTAGAAAGATAAGGAAAGAATGTGCTCCCTGTTTGTACATCTCGTTTTCCCGATAATTAATAAAATAGGAGTATGAGGTATCCGGAATTGGCATGAGACTTTGGGCTAACATTCTTGGATAACACTACTTCAATGGACACTTGTATGTGTGCCATCTTTCTACTAAATTGTTAATTCAACTCTTAATCTCTCTACAGGTATTTAAGGAGCTTCTTGTTTAGCTTGATACAATATGAATAAACTCTGTCAAAACCATACATTAGGCAGCAAAGAATGGCTGGATACAAGTATCTTTTGAGAAAGCAGCCATCGTATAAAAACTTCAGCCTGTTAGTCAGTCCAGTTTAAATCTTTCAGTTTTAGGCTAAAATGATTTACTTACAGAATCAGTAGATAGACTGTTGTAAAATGGGGTCTCTTTAATTGTATAGACACCTTTTTGGTCTATTATTGTAATATCTGTGGTCAAGGCAAAATAAATTACAAAATGAAGGACCACTTGAATTTAAATTTATGGGCTACACTTTTTTTTTTTTTGTTTCCTTTTTTGCAGGTGGGGATTTTTTTGTTTTCCAGAATTTAAGTCCTAAAATATCTCATTACCTTTCTCCCATAACAGATACATCTCAACTATTATGGGATAGAAGTAGTATTTCTTAGCAATACATTATCTGTAATTTGTCTACATGTGAATGTCTACATTTTCTCCTTAATAATTTCTTGCTTTCCATTTACATTTTAATAGGTTTTTTTTCTATTATGATGCATAATTTTTTTTTTCTACTGGCATTCAAAAGCATTTTAAATTTATATGAGACAAAGTAAAGAATTTTTTAACCCTCCCCCAAATCCTGTTTCAGCTATTATGCCAGTTTTTTTTCTTTCTTTTTTTTTTTTTTTTTTTTTTTTTTTTTTACACACATGCATATTCTCTCTCTCTCACACACACACACACACACACACACACACACACACACACACACACACACGAACTGACAGGCAAGAAATTTAGATAGTCAGCTTCTTTGTATCAGCTTAATCCTATTGTTGGGGAGGGAAAAAAAGGTTTTAAAATAAAGCTCCCTGAGGCAACTTTGTGATCTCCTCATTATTATCAGACCATAAAATATTCATCTGACTTTTCCATTATTTGGAAAATTAAATCCTCCCCAACATTATTTCATATCTGCACTCAAGATTTTTTTTTTTCCTTCGTGATGAATGGTTTTAAAAATGCTAAATGAAGAGAACATTTTTTTTTCCTCCCCATTTCAAAAAAAAAAAAAAAAAAAAATTTTTTTTTTTCTTTATCATTTCAAAAAATTTCTATGATTTGTTGATAAATGGCAATTGATATAAAATGATTGAACATAACATTGTCGTTTTGTTACTTTCCAGCTCCCCAAAACAATTAACCTTGCTTTCAGAACTGACATTGGAATATGCATCTATTAGAATTTTTTCCCACAACTATC